TTTAATAGAAATGAATGCCGTCAGCGGCCTCTAGCTGGGGGTCCCTTCGCCTGTCAACCGCATTTCTACGCCTGCGGTGCGAAACTACCCACGGAAAGCGAAAACACACATCGGTGCCTACGAAATATCCAGACACCATGTCCCGTTTTCCTGTGGCTTCTTCTTTTTATATTTCGCCCACTCGCCATCGCATATTTTGTTTAAGTCGCATTTCATGAGCATGACGTTCCCGCAGAGGGGATTTGGCTGTATATTTTTTTCCTGCTGTCTCTTCTGTCGCACATTGCTTTTGTTTTCTAGACCCCTACATGGAGCTGGAGCTGGAGCTTGAGCTGCACCAGCTTAGGCATGTCTACGGCTACGTGCGGAAATGTGTCTAAATTGTGTGTAAAAATTTCGTCTCTAGTTTTTTTCTTTTTTGTAATTCCGCTTTTTGTTATTCCTGCTGACACCATATGGCGCTGGCAGATAAGAGCGTCGCGGCAAAATAATTGACGGTCAGTGGGGGAATAAAAGTCAGCATATTCAGATCTGGGTAGGTGGAAACGTGAGGTTGTTGAATACCAAGTGAAAACAATTATATACTTGTACGTTTACATTTAAATTGCGATATTTGGCTAATTCCGCTGACAATTCCATTTCGATGAGAATAGATTTGAAAGCAGTAAGGTATGAAACTCAATAAATAATATAATTATAAAATGTCTGACCTGTTATTACTTCGCGTATTTGGAGCCAGGAAACCAGGAAACGATGAATAATTAATATATTGAGGTTTTCTTCTTTAAAGGATGTCTTAATATTTTACTGCATAAAATCGATATTGAAGTACTAAAGTATGGATGTTCTAAAAATTACAAATTTCGAAGTTTAATAAATCTAAAGATTGTTTTATTTTTGTTACTTTCTCTATAAACATACACGTTTATGGGACTTAAAAGTAATTTAATTTATTTATTAGTTCCATAAATGGAGAATATAAATACTTATTAATACTTTTTTCTCTACAACGCAAACGAAACATTTCTCTGAGCTTGGTTCAATATTTTTACAAAAATGAACTTTAATTTTTCTGCATTTCGTGATATTGTGCAACGACAATGAAGGGGTCAGTTTTTAAGCGAATCTTTAGGCACACTGTTGCGATATTCATGTTAATTAAGCCATGAATCTATGCATGTGTGTACTCCAATGTGTTAGGTATCCATGGTACCGGCTACAAATTGCTCAATCAACTGAAAATGACCACCAGAGCCCTTTAAAAAGTTGAACGCATTGTGCTTGGCTTGGCTCGACAATAGCCTGCGCCTGTTCCAATGGCTGTACACCCACACGAATGCCTCCAAAGTGACATAGAATTTGAACGAAAGAGCCCACACACAATCGACAACGGGTATAAAAATTGACAATACACACATAAATGTGGAACACACAACCCCACATGCGAGTAGTTCCAAAACCAGCAACGATAACGGTGACCAAGCCAATGATCATTAAGGCAGTATGCGTTTGTCGGCTGTTTGCATTCAGTCGGTCTGGTCTGGTCTGGTCTGGAGACCTGGTCTCTGGTTAAGTTTTACGCAAACAAAGGCGACTCGTTAGAGAGTCATGGCTATGAAGCTGGATCGGGTGTGCATTTTAAGTTAATGCATTTACAACAACAGCAGGAACAACAACCACATCAGAAGCAGGAGCAGGAGCAGCTAACACAAAGCCTAAAATTGTGTCATTTGACAAAACCACGAAATGTACTCAAAAAGCAAGTCTCAATTTCATGGTTGGACTTTCGGAAATGTAAAGGGGTGGGCTTTGTGGTTTAGCAGCTTGCAATTCGCATAAAGATTACTTTCTGATATATCAGCTTACAACTTGAACCACTATTAGGTTTTGCTAAGAATGGACATTTCATTTATGGGGGAAAACAGATTTCTGTATCGAATGTACTTAGAAAAGTATGTATATATTTAAATTTCCCAGAATTTTGTAATAAATCTCGTTAAATTATATATTTTAACGACCAATTTTCGTTTAGTATATTCAATCAGTGTAAATATATTCATTGCATTGTCAATAGTCTTCAGATTATATTCGTAAGTTCTAGGCTTGTGAAGTTCGTTATTTTAAATAAATTTAGCCAGTCTTTTGCCCTTTTTTGCTTATTGTACGATCTAATAAGTTTTTTTTATCGCCAAGTTTTATACAGAAACTATAAACTTCACAAGCTTCTGGTCGGAATCCACTACATAATAATATATAATAATAACATATAATATTTACATAATAAAAGAAGTTCCTTTGTAATTAAATACGATTAATCTTCATCTACTAGTGTTTGACAGTTTTAAAAGTAATAAGAGTTCAGTCATAAGTTTAAGTCAGCTTAAACCTGATCTGCCTTGTTACTTGTAATACCTAACTTTTCTACCCAAGTAGATTGTTCCTAATAATTCATTAAAGTTTTCATTTTCCACGAGTTTTGAAAAATATCAGTGCGCCGATTCTTGTTTCAATAAGCTTTAACTACTTGCAATACACGCTAAGCCAGCGAAAAGTGTCGGATGTAAGCCAATGTTGACAGCAACAACAAACACTCACACACAGACTACCAACAACAACAAAAACAAAATCAAGTATTAAGTGCGCTTGGTAAATAGAACGTGCATGACATTGTGGGCAGGCAAAAAGCTGTCGACGAAAATAAAAATAATAAATATGCGCTACTTATGATTAATGATTTGCGCACACAAACAAACAAAGTGAACAAAAAAAAAAGCATAAAGGCGCTAGAAATAATATCAACAACAACCACATAAGCACTGTGGGACTTAGTGGCTGAAAAAAAGAATGGAAAAAACACAAAACTATGTGTGCCTAAAAGCAGACAGCGAAAAATTCAGAGCCCAGAAGCGATGGACACGTGAAAAAGACGGAATACACGAGAAGAAGTATACACACGCCAATTCGTAATCAAAAAATTAAATGAACTCCTGTTTTTGCTTACGGACTTCATATCTCAAAGAATTTATGAAGAAGTTGGTTGCCAGACAAAAACTAACATAAAAATGTTGAAAGGTATTTGAAAATTCTTGCAAATAACAAAAAAGGAAGCCTAAAGAAAAGCTTTTTACTCTCAATTTTAAATTATTTTGATTTTGGCATGCGAGACTTTAATTATAGTCAGCTCTGGTGATTAACTCAAAATCAAGATTTTGTGACTATACAAGTATTATGAAAGTTTTCATTTAAAAGCGAATGCTATCTAAGGTTTTTAATTGCATTATGAGTCGTATATTTTCAACAGTAATTTTATATTTATAATAGCAAGCTGTATCGTTTTAATGTTTTAAAATTGTTTCAAATTTTTTTTCGTTCACGTTTTTTATTTTTTTAACTTGATAGATCAAATACTTGCATTAATCAAATATTTAACATGGTTGGTTATTTGGCCACTCTCCTTATGTTTTCATCTAAACCATATGCAGATCAAAAATATTTCATTAGTCGTTCTTTTTCATACTCACGACGTGTAACTTTGTGTCCATCTCCATCATATATAGATACATTGACTGTGACTAAGGCTTCTGCTTTGTTAGGCTTTGGCTTGGCGCGAGCAGCGTAGCATGTATTAAGGGAATTAAAATGTTATTATATAAAACAAGGGCGGGCTGAGTGCAGGATGGGAAATGAAAACAGGAAACAGGACAGACGCGGACGCAGCCGCAGCCACAGCCACAGCCACAACCGCTGCCATTGCCACTGATCCCGGATAACGATGTGATAATCACACCTGCCCAGCCCAACACTGACAGCAGCCACTCAGCGGCGTCGGCATGGGTCGCCATCATATGACAGGTGACTTGTGCATAATGCTTGTCCTCATTTCGTCGTTTGTAAAGAACTTAATTTTACGCTTTTGCATTTCCATTGAAAAAAATGAAAAGAGATAAAAAAATTGAAACACCATAGCTACCACAACGGGATATTTCGTTAAAAAAAATTGACGCTCACACCTGTTTCGGGCAGTTGCTTTACATGAGCTGGCAAGCTGCTTTAAGCTTTCCAACCACCTGCCCCCTATACCGCCCCCAAAAAAAGTTGTGTGCTTAGCTTTTTACTTTCGCTTGAAAACAAACCTGTCCTAATTTTAATAACTTTGTTTGGCATCCGCACCCCAAAGCGCATACAATTCATAGAACGCTTGGAACGTGAAGCGCATGCTTCATAGCCCTTATCCAAGACCCAAGCCAAATTTAGTTGGCTTCATGTGTCCAACTCAAGTTTCGTCTTTTATGCTGTTTTAAATTACATTTTGCTTGTGGTTTTTATTTATTTATTTTATGTTTTTTCTGTGTCTTGCTTCCTTGTCATCCCATAGAAAGCGTGTGTCTCATGCACTGTCAGCAATGAGGGTGTTTCGTTATTAAAAACTTATGAGTACGACCAATTAAGAACTTTGTAAACATTATCATCGATACGTCAATTCGCGATGTGAAAAACGAATGACAGCAATTGGCAAAATATCAGCAAAAATGTACTTTTATTTACTTTAAATAGACAACGGCGGCTGTATCAGCACAAACATCGTGAGTTATAATATAATAACAATGCTGTCAATATGTAATTTGGACAAATGATTTAATAAAAAAGGTTTATAAATAGCAACAGTTTGTCAGGATACTGTTTCTACATGACAAAAAGCAGTCATTATTTTTTATTTTTTTATTTGTATACATATATTGTTTGTCTGTTGACTATTTAATCGTGATTTTTAATTACGCATCTTTAAATAAAGCAAAAAGGGGGTGAAGTGTGGTCTGTTAATAACATATTTGTATTTTTTGTTACTTATTAATACTCATTTAATATTGTTGCTAAAATCCCATTGGATTGCTAATTTAATAAAATTGAAAATGTGGGGTTTCTTAAATAAAATACGTGTACACTTCTTTTTTGTTGCTTTAAAATGTATAACTACTAGAAACTGTAATGAATATGCAATTTTAAATCATGGCACGCATGAATGTAAATAGCTGATATGAGAACTTTAGAATCTGTTGAAAATAGTTCAGTTAGTTTCCAACAAACACTGCAAATATTACGTATACGCACCGCCATATAAGTCTGCATAGAGACGGTCATAAATTTGTATGCACGCAAAACTCGGGATTCACAAGAGCGCATCATGAAGAAAAGCAACATCTTGCGAAAGGCCAGATCCCCCTCATGCCAGTTGCTATAGAAGGCAGCTGGCAGTAGTTTGTCGCTCTACAAATAGGAAAGAGAGAAATAGAAATTGATATTGAATTGTTGAAAATAAAAGCGAACCGCTGTAGTGAATTCGTTGCCGTTGTAACAGATGAAGAGCGTGAACACCAAAAACGAGAGTAGTCCCACCGAATACTTGCAGGTCGATGCGGGACTGATCATCACCATGGAGAAGGCCATCAAACAAATTGCAATCGTGGAGGTGCTAAAGTTCACCAGAAACGTAATATTGAAGATGCGATTGATATCGTCCGCAATGAGTAGCAGTCGACTGTGAAGAGAAATGAGCGACTTGAGTTGCTTGTTAGCCTCCGGCCTACTAGCATCCAGCGCCCTGAAGGCATTGGCTATTGCATCGAAGTGTAGACGCATCTGAGTAATGAAAAAGCACAACAGAAACTCGCCAGACATGATGAAAGCCACACCCACTAGCGACGACAGTGCCTGGCACAGATAGGCAATAAAAAATCCAAAAGGCGAATTGTGCACCGGCCAGGGATACCAGGTATTGCTCTGGAACTTATATTGCACCTGCTTGGACGTGACCAGTAGTTCGTACAACAGCTCCAGAATAGGCAGCGAATTATAGTAGCTATAGGCTGACATAAAGAATATGGTCGTAAGCCGCATCAAGTAGTCAGACTTGAGATAGTAGTGCGCTACCCGATAGAGACTGGCTTGCTGCCCCTCGCGAGGATAGAGCTGTTGCAACTGAGCCAGCAGCCTTTCAATGTCCCCGCGATGATGCAGCAGCATCCACATGTTGCATGTACCGACCAGTGTGAGGCCCATAATACTGCATGTCTCGGAGATTTGCGCAATATCCACGCCCAGCTGCGATCGCTGCTGCTGCTCCAACACCCGATCCGCCACGAATAAATAAATGACCATGCCAAAATTCTGGTACACCAGATTTAGGGCGCCAAACAGAAACCACAGACGCTCTGCCATGGTGCAATACACATGGGGAACCCCACTCCCACTCCACTCGTAGACCGGCATCATGGCCAGTTGACAGCCAAGGTGCGGATAGCGCATGAAGTGATGCAATTGCAGCGAGTCTTGCATCTTGGCGACTGATTACTTGGCCAACGAATTAGCTGCCTTTTATGGCCTAGTCGCAGTGGCTTCTGTCGCGAACTAACAGCAAGTGCCTTGGGTGGCGGCCTCTGTGGCTAATCAAAGGGCTTATTAGGTAATTTACGAGAACGCAGTAGCTTTGATGTTGTCCAATTACGTGTCGTTGGGATAATGGATAATAATGTTTGGCGTGTCCTGACATGTGCTACAGCTCTCAAAAGCCCAATGCCATAAGTTACATAATCTGGGCATAGGTTTTAGTTTCTAGAAAATAACACTTATTTGGAAAACAGAGTATGGGACTTCAGAGTTAAAACATACTGCTATATTAGATGCTTGAAAAAGGATTGTATTTTTTTTTTTTAATAAATGTAAAAAGGAAATAAACTTTTCTTGACATTTAAAAAAAGCTTAAACCATTTACGAAAAGCTGAAAAGGATGATAACTGTAGAGAATAATAGATTGGCGTGCATGTGGGAATAAAAAATCGTTTATTTATATAAAAATGTACTTATTTATTTCGTTGCCTGAACTAATTTAAATATTTGATCACCGAAACAACTTACACAATCAACGTGACATACTCAATATTATTCGTGTGAACGTTAAGAGGAAACCAATCGTACAAAAAACATACAAGTAATGATGATGGAGATAGAAAGAGACAAACCTTCTGTTTTCTTTCAAGCGCTAGGACAATACAAAACCGCATCATCGCCTTGGGCTTGGTTAGAGTTAAATAGAGTTGGGAGAACTTAGACTCTGACTACCGACACAGTTCATTAAGCACATATACTTTCCATTTATGTATGCATATATGTGTGTGTGTGTGTGTGTGTGGTATGGTTTTTCCAAACCATTGCATACCTTAAGGCGTCACACATTGTTGTTAAAGTTAAGTGTTTGCTGCTGCCACCAGAGACCTTCCTATGTCAGGCCAAAAAGAACAAAGACAAGCACCAAAAAAAAAAAAAAAAAAAAAAATAAAGTGAAACAAAAATGAAACAGCTGCAGAATATTTGGCAAAAGAAAAACGCATTTACTGTGCCTTCTAGTCATCGGCGATGGCTGCAAATTTCTGCCTAATAAGGCTAACTATGGTCATGACTATGACTGGGAATATGGCTACAACTGTAGACAATCGGGCTTAGTGTGCCCTGTGGACGATTTTCATGCTGACTTATGAAGCATAAAGAGAGAGACAGTTGTCGGCTTGAAGTACTTTTAGCATGCCTCTGTTCGTGTGCGTAATAAAGGCAACCAAGTGTGAAGCTCCACACCCAGTAAAGGGCACCAATTATGTGAACGTGTACTGGGGAATTCGGAATAAAATGCCATTACGAAAGGACAATATAGGCGTTTTCAATCGAATATGAAACGTATTTTTTTACTATTTAGTAACATCAATTAAAAATAGGTAAAGTACATAAGATGTCTAAGTTATATTCTTCATTTATTTCTGTCTTTCGAATTTTTTTCAAAATATCTATTGACTGAAATTTGTGTCAGGCTTTAAATTGAATGAAATTTTGTTAAACTTGAACATCTGTACCTACTCGTATACAACTTTGTTTTTGGAAATGAATTTAAACCCAAACGGTGTTTATTTTGCGAATATCAGTGCAAGAATTTTTTGAATCAATAAACTAAAAACATTATGAAACAAGTAAAATTTACCGGTATTAAAAATTATTGGAGAAGCAGCTTATATTATTATACTTAAAATATTAAAGAACAAATATGAACTGTCGTGCTAGTATTCATATTATGGAATATTCCAACAATTGTAAAATGTGTGTACATAATACACTCTAATTCTCATTCTGATTCTGCTCACTTATTTGGCCTCTGCTTCCATAACCATATTAAGGAAGCCCCGCCTTTTCAATACCAACATGTCAGTTTATGTTGTCTTAATTCGTATCTAATTATATATTCTATTTTGTAACAAAATAGCTCAATATTCATGCCAGCACCGTCTTTGGTAATCATAGTTGAACATAGTTGAATACATAGTTGAAATGGAATTTACTTTAACGAAAACTTGTATTAATTTATTTTAGAAATTCAACTATATTTTATTGCACATTAGTTTGTAAGAAATAAATATAAGTGACAAACTGCATTTCGAATTCACAAAGCTAATTAGGAATTATGTAATAACATCTAATTTCGAACTATTTTAAATAAAGTTAAATAATGCCTTAGACTTAAGGCAAACACAAATAATGACAAAGTGAAAGTGCTCTGCAAACTAATAATACATAAGTACTTTTTCAGTCGAACTTAATATATTTTTGTTTGCTTAAACCGAATTAATTAAAATCCCACTCGTTTATCCGAAAAAGCTGAAGATCGTTAAATGTTTAATTAAGTTGAGTTATTGTTTGAGTCAAGTACTCATTGCAGCTACAAAGCATCTTGTCTGCATCGCTGCTAAAGCATTTATATACAGTCGTATACTATATACTCGTACACAGTGCATTTGTTACGCAAAACCGTAACAAAATATCTGACGTGGCAATTACTTAGCCTCGTTATATCATTTTACAAGTGCATGCAAAGACCTCGTTGTTTTTGTTGCTGCTCTGCGTGTTAGGTTTTAAATGTGGATAGCTCCCTGCCACTCGTATTTAAGTGGTTTTATGGTCAATAGTAAATATTTTTCCCATTTTATTTGGAAATTGTATGACCGGCGTTGAATGCCACTGTTCTGGGCAGTGACAGCGTACTATGAGTATAATGTTGTTTCTGTGATTAGATAACATATGGAATATAAAGTCTGCTCTATTAGTAAGTTCATCAAACTATTATTATTTGTCGATTAGTTCGTAATTATTTTATTTAATATTCTTATGCGTATAAGCATCTCTATGAACTGTATCATATACATATGTATTATTATGTTGAGCTGATATATGTAAGCGATATTGAAAAGCCAAAACTCAACTACTTTTAAATATTTTTATTACTTACGTACTTTTTTCTTATTTACGATTTCTACCAAGTTCAGTTTTAACAACGTAACACTGTGTGGAAACAATGTAGATGCACAAAAGCATATTATGTTCAGACTCATTCCAAATATATCCTGTTAATTTGATCCGAAATTATATAATCATTTGATGGCCACCAGCGACGTGTCTTATTTATTCATAATAAACAAGAAAAGCTAAGCTGAATTTCATAATAATATTGCGTGTGTTGTCGGTCAACATCCATCACTCATTCCTGTCCTGACCGCTTACCAACTAACCTGTCACACATGACGTATGATTGATGTGATATCAATAATCATCTTTGTACGTTGGCCTTATTTGCCTGGGAACAGTTGTCAATTGAGACATTTATTTGGCGGCATTGCTAATACATTGCAACTAATGACCTGCCCAAGGCACTTAAATATTTTAGGCACTCAATGGCCAATAAGACCAGTTCATAAACTACTCGAATCAAATTTTATTTTTCAGACAATTGCAGCCAAATTAGCAAAGTCCTTTTGTAATGCCCTCAACAATTCCCCGGAGTTTTCATTTCAGTTGCATAGAAATTTTATAATTAGTTTTGTTGTCTATACACACACACACACACACACACACATAAATATTTCGAAAAGTTGGTATCCAAATAAAAACCAGCAACTGCCCTTTGTGTGCGTACTTTTTGCTTATTACATAATATTAGCGCATAGCTGGCTAAAGTTTGAATTTGTGTTTAACTTATTTTTATGTAGAACATGCAATTAGGAGGAATTCGTTGCAAGCCAATTGTTGTTTGTTGAGCTTCCTAACTAACTAATTTGGCGAACAGAAAGTTCATTAACGCTTAGTAGTTGGGCTTACAATAAGCAGGAAAAAATAAATTATGCCGCATTGTTTTGAGTTTTTTCCTGATAAATAATGAATTTTAGAATATTTTTTCAAATACTTGAAGTCAAAAGGAATCGGATTCATTAAAATTGTCAGAAGTATATGTAATTTGTTTTTGGTTTATGTATTATACTATTTTAAGTTTATTTTTATAATATTATTTTTTCCTTATGCATGGAAAACTAAATAAAATAATGGAAATGTGTAATTGTTTTATTGATTGGGAGACTTTTTTGAATAATAGTGTATTCTGTATACCTTGTCTTACCTTGCTTTTATTGACTGGTTTTATGGATCTTCCAAGCGAACAGTGTAGTTGCCATGATAGCCATTATGTGGACATCTAGAAATATACCGTAGTAGAATGAAAATGGAAATGAACATGAATGTAAAATGTTTCACGCGTAAATATTTGTATATATTTACAAATGTTATAGAGACATATTTACTGTCACCAACTCGACCACAAATCAGTACGCAGGAAAAACACAAAACATATGCCAATTATAATCAAATTTTTGGCTCGAGAGCCTGTCTGCTGTCAAAATGTACATATTAGGCACCAAATGCACATAAATTAAATTAATTAAAGCAATTAGTGTGATGTGATAGGTGCCTTGGACCAACGCAACTTTTCTACAAATCAAATCTAATTTATGTGCAAGCAAGGTGAAAGGGAAAACACATGTACACAAGGAAAAAAAGAACACTATATCACTTAATTAATGTAGAAAATACAAAAAAATATACAAGTATAACAATAAATCTGTGTATTGTTACATTTGGTATTAAATAAATGCATTGCTTAAAAGAAAATAATCAATAAATCAAAATAAAATTAACATTAGAAAAAATAAACCAATTTGTTGTTTGGCAGTATACGTTTTTTTTTTTGGAAAAATGTGCACTACAGTGTAATATTTTAACATAATTCCAATAATTTTTGTTATGGTCAAATAAAAAAAGGCAAAGTTGCTTTAAGATTATATTTTGGAATAGTTTTATAGAAAATGCTATATAAATATGAAATTCAAAATCTGATTTCAAAGTATTTGAAAACTCAGTAATTTTAACCCTGCCCATTTGCGTAAAATTTTTATTTATTGAATCCTTTTTAT